ACTCTGCTCTGAGACAGAATAAAGTACATGTAGCTCATCCTCTAGACATTTTTGGAGGTTTTGTAGATTAGGGGATGATAACGATTTCACAGTCATTTTAATAGCATGCTCCCCTGTGAAATTTCCATGCAGTCAATTTTTTATCTCTCTTGTATCCAAGTCAAATTTCTATTGCTATATATAAAGCACATTTCTCACATCCTGCCCTCAGTAGATAGGGAAAAATAAAGTTGATCATTGGCATCTTTACTACCTACTGAAATTCTCTCAATGCCAGCTTATGCCTTGGGCAAACCTTTCGTCTTACCAAGGCAAATGAACAGTAATGATTTTTTTTCCACAGTGTATCACAGGCTACCAAAATAAAACTAACTCTACTGTGATGGTGAACGTTATGCTGCAATATATGGTATTTATTAGGTCTCTTTTTCTTCTAAGCATGTGAACAGCTGTACAAATGAAAATATTTATAACTGTATCTTCCCTAGTGTCATCCTTAGGCATCTAACTACTGGCTTACAGGCACCCTTTAATGAAAGACTGGGCAGACAGACCTGTCTGTTGCAGTATTTCCATAATCAGTTTGTTGAGTTTCGTATTTTGCAAACAAAATCACACTAGGAAATATTGTTTCAAGGCCAGATGACAACCTACATCTTGGACAGTGCATATGTAGCTTTAACTCTACAAAATGCAACATAACTATCCCAGGATTTGTCCCTGCAAATAACAAATGAACACACTCTAAGTATTGTCAAGAGACCAAGAAGGAATAACATGAAACCAGGAATGTAAAGCACACGAGATTGACAAACACAAGGAAATATTAATAGCGGATGGCTGTTAACTTCCATTTAGTATTCTCATTCCTATTTCCCTGAACAATACCTGCCTAGGTGACTTGAAATACATGACAGGAAATTATTTTACCTGATCACCTGGGCTGAAGACAAATAACATTTATCTGACTGTACCTGATTCTTCTTTCCACCCATTCCGAACTAAAAAAGTGTATCATGAATGGTGTAACTCTTGCCATCAAATACAGTATAGAAGTAACAGTTAGAATACAAGGCTTTGTAAAAGTAAACCATATATGTTTTTAAAGCCTTCATATGAAAAAGAGTTGTTGCTGGCACTTAAGAAGTGATTGCCAGGATTATTAATGCAGCAAAATTCTTGATGACTTTTATCAAATATTAGCACAGAACTTTTCTTCTGGAGAACAATCTTGCAATTATTCATTTGTACATTTGTTTTTTGAAATAAAAACAAAACCAAAATCTCCCACACATATCCTAAAAGTATCTGATAACTGTTTAGTATTTTAAACTCCATGTTTCTTTTCCTCTTGTAGTTTTGCATATGAGCAAATATAATCATAGCATGACAGACTCATCAAGCAGAGAGCTACTGGAATATTTGCTTCATTTAATTGCCTGATTCTATTATGGGCAAAACTTATATTCTGACATATACTGAAGACTAGGTATTTTAAAAATGGTGCTGATGAAGATCCTCCAACATTGCACTGCTGCAGCCATGTTTGAACTAGAGAAACCTTGTGTGATAAGACTTTGTGCTGAAGTTTCAAAACCTCTGATAAGTGTTCCTGGCTGTACTTCTAAATATTTGTTCCCAAGCTGATATATTACATAAACAAAGTCCACATCAGAGCTACACATCGTTCAGCACTTGGGATGTGTTTTTTCACTCTTGATTTATGAAAACACGAAGGCCCAAAAATAAAACCAGCTAATTTTAGTGCTGTGTTCCAATACTGTGTTTTATCTTGATCAACTGTTTATATGAGGACAGTGACACCAAGCGGCAAAGAGGACTCAAGTTCCCCTTTTCTTCCAGCTGTTCTGAACTCCACCTCTGACAGTTTGCCTTTGACAGAGAAAAAGCTGAATACAGCTAACTGTGCTGCAACTTCCAACTGCTTTACCTGTATGTTGTGTACTTCAATATAATTTGTTTTGTGAAAAGTTAACCTGGATATAAAACTCATCTGCTTAGCATACAACAAATTTGTTTTTCTTCCCAGATGAAGGGAAAAGATTTCTGCTTCTTTTAAAATACACTGTTGGATTTCATGTCCTTTACTGATGCGAGGTGTAATGAACTGCTGCACTTTGAAGATTTTAATGGAGAATTCTTTTCTTGCGTTTCTACATCCTCCCTCTAAACTGTTAACAAATTATTTTCACTTTATTTTTGCTGATACTGTGGAAAAGTATCCTTTCACCTCAAGCATAAGTGTTGACTTTGCCATCTTGACTTTGAAAATCTGCTTCTTGATCAACAACTCAAAGTATTTTTAGCGGCATTAATAATTCCAATAATAATTAGATACAAATGGCTCTGAAAAGGGTTTGGTGGGTAAAAAGTGACTATAACTTGTGCTTGAATAAACACCTAGAGGTCTCTCATTTCTTACACTTCTATTCCATTACTTCATACTGCCCACTTTAAACAAAGAAACAGACCAACTCCAAATCAATACCCAGAAGAGAATCACTATATTTTCTTTCCTACAATTCAGTGCACATCACCACCATATTATAGTGAGAAAAGAATTTAAACTAAGCAGATGAAAGTTCATGCCTTCACCTTGGAAATACTTCACGAGTTAACTATTTCTTTATAGGCAAGAAAAATTTCCTCTATCCAGTCAGTGTAACTCCTGGTACTGTACCAAAATCAATGGCAAGATATTTTTCTTTCAGAAATAATACCACAACGGCCTTTGGTTCCCACACAGCAAAACCAAAATTCTTTCAGATGACCCAAAACAGTACTAGAAAGCAGACCTGAGGTAACTGCAAAAGAGGAAGCCTCTATGGGATGACATTTTGCCCACAGTCCTATTTCAGCAATGAAACTTCTATATAATGATCTCTAAATACATATTGCACGAATATGGCCATGTAAGATACCACTTAGCTGGAATAGGCATACTTAGTCCCACTGAAGAAAATAAGGTATCTTTTGAACAAGCAAAATAACAAATTACTCAGAATGATTGAAGATCTCAAATATAGTTCATAAGGAACTGCTAAGCTAAATTTTTTAAATTATGAAGTGCTTTTGCTGGTGTTTCCACTTGAATTTTATCTTAATACAAGTTATCTACGCCAACTATCTGTGCCAAGTTTGCAACATTTTTGAGTTTTTCACCTAAGTCATCACAATTGTTGAACTTTTTCTTGAAGCCCATCTAGCCTCTTGAAAAAAGATGGACCTTCTGTGATGCTGAGTGAATCTGTTAGACTTCTTTATTACACCTTCTATAAGCTTGAGCAGAATACTAGCAAATTCAATGCAACAAGGTCAACACATTTCTTTATGAGCTCATGTCTTAGCAGGATTGGTGCTCATACAAATACAGGTGCCAAATGAAAGAAATGAATGCTGAACAAGGACTACACTGTTCTTCAAGATTAGTTCCTTTTAAGAAGAAAGTGGGAAAAAGTTAAATTCCTGACATGCTTATTTAACTGAATAAAAAGAAAACATTTTTACCTCTTCAAAAGCCTCTTTCCTCCCTATAAACTGGCACCTTTAGAAGACATTTACGTGTTCAAAATGGTTGTGAAAACCTTTTTCATCAATGCCAGAAAGAAAAAAATATTAATTTACATTTTGCCCTATAAAATTCCCTAGAAAATTAAAGTGAAGTCTCTGTTCTGGGGAAAGCACCACACACCTTTACCATTATATTGTTACTTGTAATTCCTACTCTTCCTCCTTGTTCTTTTCTAGTACTTGGGTATCAAGATACTGAGATTAATTTATAATGGCAGTGAATACAAACAACAAAATTATTTTATTTTGGCAGAGCTTGTGATGCTTTTTCTGTGCTTTTATTTAGTCTGTTTCAATTACACATGATCACCTGCTTCTAGGACTACCTTTTAGTAAGAGATGTCTATTAATCTATTCACCTTTATAGTGTTACCCAAATTTTTAGTATCACAAGCAGCTGTTCCATTTCAACAATCTTTTATGATGAAGTCTTCACAGATTTGTAGAGTTTGGTGTCTTTACAATTTACAGCCAAACAATTTTCTATCTATTTCTCCTTTTGTTTTACTTTTTTAATCCGAGATTTGTTCTCTTACTCCTTCTTTTTTTCCCACATTTTCCTGTCACCCTTTTCTGTGGCTAGTGAGTTCTGTATTTTGCAGATCCACACTCCTTTCCCAAAGATCTGTTTATGAAAGGGGGGTTCAGAGCTGAAACTCACATTTCAAACTTCTATCACATCATCAGTCTTCTCTAGGTTTTGAAAATATGATAAAAAAGTCAAGTAATTTTAAAAAGTAATAAAAAGATGTGCCATTTATTATAATCACTATACCACCCAAACTGTCTTAGAAAATATTTAGAATTCACACTTCCTAATCTGATACCTTCCTGTTTAGTTCCTCATAAATTGATAGGCTCTCAGTCACTTAAAATGTTTCTAAATGTGGCTCACAGGATTTTAGTACCCCAAACCCTACTGAGGTACTTAACAAAAATCCTATCTATTTTTTCCAGTGTTTACTTTTCACCCCCAAGCTCCTTATGAAACAAATAGAATACTGCCATGCTGCAGAAGTCAGATACAGAGAGGAAAAGGAAAGGCATGGTTTTATAAGAAAAAACCCCTTTAAAGAGTGTTGGTAAAGCAGACATTCTCTTGCATCATGCAGGACTGTCTCTGCATGTCACAACACCTATGTTCTTCTTTCTCACAACTGCTTAGAATTTAACATTGAAAGAAACTTTATTCATAGTGAAGCTAGCAAGTTTTATTTGAAGACAACACATTACATTTTAACTAAATGAAGATATGCAAACTGTGCACTCACATAACGAAGCCTGCTAAAGCATAAGCTATTTCTATTTCTACTTGGCTAAGCATCAGGACCAGCAGTGGTTTCTGGTTAAATCAAACTGCAGCATCTAATAAGAATGCAATAGCATCTACAAGCTGTGTTAGTACTTACATCCAAGCTTCCTTCACTTGTAGATGCAGAACTAAAAACATCCTCCTCACCACAATCTCTGTTCATCCTCAAGTATTCTTCTGTCTGCAACACAAACAAGCGTCCTACACAGCAGCAGCAAACAAAACTGCAAAACATGCCAGAGCAAAATACCAAACCCCATCATGGAACCAAGACAAACTGTCTCAGTAGTGCTGCACCTGATCGCTGAGAAACTCTGAAATAAAAAAAATTCTGCAAAATTCTCTGATGTAGGCAAGGACCTAAGAAAGCCATCAGCAAAAAGATATAAGAATAAAAAGACAAAATTCTTTCAAGGATAAAAATAGGGAGTAACTAATTCCTGTAATATCAGGGACCAGACTGCTAGTCTCTGCTATATCCACAGACACAATGGAACAAGCAGGGAGCACCTTCTTTGCCATTTCTCCATGAAGGAACCGTTTCTGTGTGCTAGATCCCACGATTGTCTGCATAGCACCTCTGCTCCACTGGATTGTTTAGCAGTGCCAATTTGATCTGGATTTAGCCTCAGGCAAACGACTGCATTTAACATCAAAAAGAAACGGAGTTCATGCCACCTTTACGTTTTTTATGCCAACTGCAGGAGAACAGAGGGTAACTGATCCAGCATAAAATTAGAATGGAGAGAACAAGATGATACCTGATCTGGCATTAAGCCTGCCAGTACAAAGTTAACCAAAGAAATACTTTTAACAAATTTGTACCAGCCATGAGACTAGGAATTTGCTTTCATTCTATGTCACAGTGTTTCCAATATAACGGAAAGTTTTTTTAAGAAAAGTTAGATCTGCTGTATTGTCATACCACAATTACTGCTCTCAGTGAGCCAGCTGAGAAAGAAAGCATGTGCGTGGGCATGGAAATCTGAGCACAGGCCTGTAGTGTGCAGTGACATCTGATCCAGGACGGCTTGCAACACAGGCTAACACTCTTCTTCCCTTGCAAAAGAAATTGCCTTCCCCTTGCAAATGCCTGCAAGTTTGCAGTCCTACTACTGCACAGGACTTTGAACAATTCTTCCAATGAAATAGCTCTAAAGTAGAGACTATGCATGACCACATACACACACACCTCACCACTGCAAATCATAATGCAAACAAACAAAAAATACACAGAACCAATTTAAGACTTGTGGGGGAGTAAAAATGTAAAAAAACCATGAAGAGCAGAGTTTAGGCACCCTGGGGTTTTGAGTCCAGTTCCCTGAAATCACAAGGCATCCCATGCTCTAATCCCTTCATAAACCTACCAAATCTTTTATTAAAAGAACTTTATTAATTTGACCTCATCCTGCTAAGTCTGTTCAGCAGTTTCACTGCTGTTTTGGTGAGAAAGTTTCCACAATAGTAAGTCAGATATATTATGCCTAGTTAACAACTGCTTGCTCCTGTGTGCTGTGCTATTCGTCAGTTTTCCGTAATTCTTCCATCTATTGCATTTTAAACTCCCAGAGGTTTGTGAAGGCAACAGTGCCTTCTTCGCTCGACTAAACAAAATTACTGATTTAGTTTCTTTTCCTACAGAGTAACTGCCATTTGAAAGTAAGTGTCCAATATTGAAATGACCAAAAGAAATCAACCTGTCAGAATCAGCAAGAAAGACTAAGACCTTTTCCTCAGATTTAGAAGCTGTTTCTCATACTTGTTTATACAGTTCCTACTTTTTCCCAAGTCAAATACTATTTTGAATTTTATTCACCCTCAATATCCTTAGCATTTTTAAAAATTTGTATTTTAAAAAACTCAGGCTATCACCTCCTTTGCTTTGATTAAAAGTAAGAGAAAGAGAACAGAGAAAAAAAAGAGAGAGGCTTGCAATCTTTGAACACATTTCCAGCTCTGCTGTGAGAAACCCACTGCAGTAACCACTGAATTAGGATGCTTCATAGCAACTTTCGCTAAGGTTGTAAGTATTAATACTTTAAAAGTTAAAACTGATCTGCTTCAGCAATTAGAACTACAAGAACACAGATTTCACACCTGAGTTCAGTAAAATGGAATGAGAGGACAAAGTACATTGCAGAAACTGTACGCTGTAATGTGTTTGGTTCTTCCAGGGGAATCACAGTCCCACAGCGTGCTCTAGAGGCTCAGGCTGAGCTCCCTTCTTTACTTGATTCTTCTGAGCAGACACAGTATTATTGCTCCAGTTATAGTTTTTCCCCTTCTAAACAGGAAGTCTTTTCTTACACAGAAATAAGGTTTTCCAACACAGTAATTCATAATGTCCATAAAGGAATCTATTCCCTAGCAAAGTACAAATTTGATCACGAACAAAAAGGCAGACAACTGTGAGAGATTTTGAAAAATCTTCACAGTTTTGAGAATTTAACTGAGAAGACTTTACTGGATAAGTAAAACACCAATCCGTTAACAAGCAAATGCTTCTTTCTGCCAGTTAATCAGGTGCATATTTTGTAATTCCACTCTAAAAGCCTTGGAGGATTTAAACTAGAAAAAAGAAAATTCCCTTTCTCTTTTGACATCCTAGGGTATTAAACACTTTATGCTCAAAATCGTTTAACACCAATATTTTTAGTAAAGAATGCAAAAAGTATGAAGTTAAAAGCCCACTATTTTTTCTATGTTTTTAAGTGAGAAAGTTCTTCTGTATTTTATTCCTGTGATAAATGAAATACTCTTCATTAATGCATCTCAATGGAATTATTTTATACAAAATTTCTTTCCTAAATTTTTCAGTTCAAGAATAGAAGCAAAGTTCAAAGAGGCTAACATGTACTCCAGCAGACACTGATGCTCAGTTCAGTATTGGAAGTTATTTCTTCTATACTGATTCATTTGCTTTACAGACTTAAGAGATAGCAATGGTGTGACTGCACAGAGCTTTTGAGAGGTATAAATACTTTAAAAGAGATTATCACCCACGCACAGAAGAGGTCAAAAGACACATCAACTCGATAATTAAATTGTTCTGTATTACATCAGTCCTCTCATAAATGCATTTTATAATGTGAGTACTACTAATAAGCAGACACAGATTGCTTGAAACTGCTGCCCTTTTTTAACACCTACTGAACTCACAGCATTGAAAAAAAGTAAAAAAAAAAGTCAATGGTGAACATGATTGAGTCTTTCAATAAGCAGGTAATAGCTCCATCAGGCTGCACTGATGGCATGTAGTTTATGCCCCTGTTAAGAGATTACTCTCTGGAAGGAAAAGGAAGGCAGGCCAAACAAATGCCACCACCCACAGACATCAGATCTAGAAAGAAATAAATTCTCTTTAGTGAGTACTTTAGTGTTCTTTAGTGAACACTTACCTTGCTGCTTCTTCTATCAGCATTAAACAATCCCAAAAGTCTTGTCTTTTCTTTCTCTATTGCATCACTGCTTACTGAAGCCTTTCGATTTGGTTCTGAAAGAATTTTAATGGAATAGTTGTTACATTTTTGAAATAAAGATTCACAAGATGAGTACTTTAAAATGTCCTGGATTAATGCTAGATTTTTATGAGCTGAAGATGTTATGGACAGGATTATCTAAGTAACAGCTAGATCCTGCACTTACTTTGTCATCTAACTTTCATGTGTTCTGAGTATATTCCAAAATCTAATGAAGACAAATGGAATAATTTAATAAAGTGCACTAGCCTTTCAAACACGATCCAATAACCCTTATTAAAAGGCAAAACATGAGCAAATTGCTTATGACTTCAGATATGCTTGTTAGATGCATCACTGAAATCTCATAGAGTACTGTAATACTAAAAACCCTCAAACACCTAAAAAAACATACACTGGTGAGTATCTTTAACAATTCATAGGTTTGACTTAATACTGTGAACTTATAAATGAGAGATTCTCAATGTGTAATTTGGATAAAGCTCTATAAAGAGGAAAAAGACCTTCCCCTTGGAAACAGGGCACTCCTTAGAATTTAAACTAGGTGGTTGTGGTCATATTTTTTATCTTGGTGCTTTTAGTTCAGGTGGGAAAAGAGAGAAGTTTATAAGTATTTCAGGCAGTAAAAGCTCATATGTGTCTTCCTTGAACCTGCTTAAGAAATTGTATGAGTTCTCACACCATTTAGTATCCCTTCAGATTCCCCCTTCAGTTTCTCATCCACAAGATGGATGAGCAAAATGACACACTCATGCATTACAGGAAACAACACTGCCCATTTAATACATGGATGATGAAGCCTCTTACTTTTTTAAATGGACTCTGCGTAATGCTATAAATCTTTCTTCCTGATTCCAAGCACATCAGATTATTCCACTAGCATTCAAAAAGTTTAGCTCACAGAGAAAAAAAGTACTTTCTCTTGTAAATATTAGCTTAATAACAATTAAAACTCAAATTCAAAATTATTTAGTTGTTGACAAAACATAAAGGTTTACCAAAAATCTTCATCCCCGAACTCTTTGTAAACTCATTTGCATAACATACAAAGTGATTTTCACACAGATCACTTTTGCATACAAACAATCTCACGTGTCAGAAGGTGTCAAACATATACAGTGAACACAAAGGACAACAGGGAGAAACTATCCTTAAGAAAGGCTGCAACTGCACTGCAAACAATTACAGTAATGAATTAATGCTTTGCTTAAACACTAAGCACTACCCAGGCTGGTTTCTTGCTTGGGGCTGGGGTGTGATGTGGATTATAATTCCTTTCCTTGCATAGTCTTAAACTATAAATAATGCTGTGGAAAGGCTAAGGTAGCAGCTGATCATCACTGATCAACACTGTCATTGAACATTGTGTAATCCAAATAAATTAGGATTTAAGTGATGCATATAATATCAAAATATTGAGTCTTTATGAATCTGTATAACTTTTTCTTAAATAAATACAGTAGATATTTCATCTAGTATTGATCTTCATGTGAGAGGAAGCCACAGCAAGTAATGACAGAGGATTAGGGGGAATAGTGCTGCCATTTGTGAAGCCAAGAGGCCACGAGCCAAGATTTGCTCAGAGGCTGTCACCTATTGGAGGCGGACATTCTTCATAAAAATTTAAATAACTTACCCAGTTTTACTTTGGTTATGTTTTGTGTACTAGTAATGCGAAGAAGTAAAGCTCATTAGAAATAAACCATCCCTTTCTTGAGGATAATTAATTTAAGTAATGTATTAAAACAGACTCAATAGGGAAAAGAACATACTAAATACATATTTTCTATTTGACTGGAAGCAGAAGCACCAATATAGTCTAATCCAACCCCAACTACTGTAACAATTCAGAAGTCACTGTCTATTCAGTTACCCAATGTGTTTGTATACATTTGATACTGAAGTGCTTTGCTGCACATAATTTGAAATCAGTGGAAGATCTCACAGACATCAACAATCTCTGCCTTTGCTACTAAATAAATTTTGAACCCAAGAGACCTCAGAAATATTAGTAATTCTGAAATTCACCTCATCATGATTTAGGTAAACTGAACAGGCTTGGAATCTATAGACAGACACCACACCACAAAACAGTTAAATCGCATCATTTGTTACTTGCTGGCATTTTAATGGCTATTACTGAAGAGACAGCATGCACAGAATGTGTTTGTTCTTAGTAGAAGCACAAGACATGTAAGCAACACTTTGGAAAGACAAAACAGATCAAAAATACCTTGTTTCTCTACGTCATTTTATTTGACATTCTTAAAGATCTATCTACCAAACCCACATTAAACATAGAGTGAAGTGAAAGGGTTAAACACAGAGTGAAGCTTCCCCTCAGCAGCATCATACAGTACCTCTATAGTTCAGAGAAGGTTCAGACTGAGTTTTTGATGGAGGAACTGGAAAAGTCAGGCAATGAAAGGATAAGAGAAAACACATTAAAGTTCTAATATAGCCCTGTAAAGCACAATATTCATTAAGTAGTCCTAGCACCTTTTTTCCTAAGCATTACAGAAAAAATGTTGACTGACAACACACATTCAGAGCTGCTACTAAGGCAGTTTAGGTGCGTTTGTATTAATTCCTGATTCATTCACGAAGTTGCTTCAACTGCTAGAAAGAATTAAGTAAGCAGGTGGCAGCAGAGCTTCTCTTTTAATAATCCTTCAGCTCTTGGTGCTTTCTGTTTCAGGCAAGGGAAGAGTGAAGAATTTTTCTAGAATCTGCTCTTACAAGCACAGCCTATGGCTTTCAGCACCTGTGACACCTTACTTGTTAGTGAGAATGCATTTAAAAAATCTATTTTCTGTTAAGTAAACAGGCTAGATACACACTCAGTGCCCAAGTCACAGACCAACTGCTATTGAAACCAGTGCGTTTATTCCTCTTGGAGGTTACAAATGAGAACACTGAAGAAGAAATTTGCTGAAACAAAGGAAAATTTCTTGAAAATTTTATGTGCATTTACTGGTTTTCTCAGACACCATGGTGCAGAGTAAGAGGAAAGCACAAAAGATCCTGAATTGCGCTCAGGATCAGGGAGATTTTATCATAATGAAAGGAAAGGAATACTGAAAGGTTAAAAAAATATTAGAATATTAAAGAAAGGCCGATGTAGAGAGATGTCTACTATGACATGTAGATCTTTGTGGGTCCTTACAATCAATATATTCTGTGATTCTGTGATAATTTGCTGCTATAATCCCAGCCCTGTATAAGGTCTTTGTTTTGACTGTATACACCACAACCGAATTCGAGGACCAACACTGCACCAGCATACACACCACCACTTCCATTTGAAAGGAAAGACTTTACTGAAGGCTTATGATAATTACTCTCTAAGTTGTCCCTGAATTATGTTCAGGGAATGAATCCTGTTGAATACACTCCATGTTCAATATGCTGCTCCAAAATGGTTAGCTTAATTACAGTAAACATGTCTTGAAAAAAACAAACATGCAATTGAGTTATGACATGTTTTCAGCCTCTTTTTGGAACATCCCAGCAATTCAAAAGAAAAGGAGATATTTAGTTTACTTAGAAGTTTAAACTCACTGAAATTTGACTCGCACAGAGGTAGAACTGTCACTTATCAAAGAGTTGGAAAGAAGAGACAGAATGTCAACATAAATAAATAATTTTATAAATAAAAAATAAACCTACAGCTCAGCACCTACAAGAATGACGTTATCTAAACAATAAATAAGGACATTTACTGTGCTGGAAGTGATAACGATTGAGAAAAACTGCAGGAGACAATTTTAATGAATATCACTTTCTGACCTAAAACGAAGTAGTTGTCAATGTGTATTTTCAAAGCAGGTATATTTTAAAGCACATCACAGAGTGCACATATAATCAGGCTGACAAAACTCAACTCTGAGAAGCTGCTACTACAGTTTTGAGTATGAGAGCAGAAAGCGAGGATAGGTAAACATGAGAACAAAATTTTACATACAAATACCTCTTAGCTCCTCTTCATTAAACCGTCAATAAATTTGCTCTTTGGAGAAACTGTCTCTGATCCTGTCCAGTCTGTTTCTCATAAGCCCTGGTCTGTCGCCTCTGCCTCTCAGCTTTTGCAGCTGCCATGACTATGGCATGTCTCTTCTTTCCTTCTCTCCAACCCACAGCACAGGTAGGTGACAGACTCTGCCTGGACGAGGCCCCTGTGCTATGCACACCTCTACTGACAGCAGCTCTGGGATATAGCAAAGCTCCTCCTTTTGCCCTGCCCCAGGCCAACCTGCACCCTGCCAGAGTCCAGCCCAGCCTGGCACAAGCCCAAGAGCAGCCAAGGACGGCTGGGCACATTGCTGACCTGGCTGCAGCTCTGGGCACAGCCCACTGAACAAACCCATGCTGCTCTCCGGACTGAGATCTCACTCTGCTGTTTCAGCTGAACCCTAAAAGAATGGCAGCACGAATGCTTTTAATTGCCCATAATATTGCTGTCACATCACATAACCCTGCAGTGACCCCTTTCAGTCCTGGCTCACCTTTTTTTCTATCCCAGGCGTACAGCTCCTTTATCCCTAGTTCCTCCAAGGACTTGGTAAGCTCCAGCTCTTCCCCAGTTATGCCATCCCGCAGAAGAACAATGTGCTCTTGACTGACTTCACACTTCTCACAAATAGCGGGGATGATGTTGTGGAGAGGCACCTCTGGACTAACTCGAACCACAGTCTTCTGTGTCTTCAGGTAGTTCACTACCAGCCTCACAGATTTCTGCAGAAACAAACAAACTCTCAGTCTCTCTTCTGTGATGGATAGGCCCTCTTACAATGAGAAAAGCACTGGGGATTTCCATATTGTCTTGCATGTTCCAAGGCAAACTTACCCCACATTGCAAAAAACACTGTTTGAAAGCATAAAATCTCAGACCTCCCTTTCCACTAAGGAGACATTCACAAGAACATGCAGATAAGGAAAAGGAATCAGAGGCAGATGTAATGTAAATGTTTATAAGTCCCACTCTGAAAGGTAGGAGAGTATAACTAGATATAGTTATTAGAATAACAAAAAATTTCAGCAAACATTTGGAAAATGACTACTTCTCAATCTTCACTGTACTGTGAAATACAATTATTAATGATCAGCCTTGTCCCATATCTTCAGTGAAGATAGTACACATAATATCACCAAAATGCTATCTCTACACAACGCCACAATACTAATTTCAGTCATTACTGCAATTTTCAATTGCCCCAAAGTTCAGATTTCCATCTATCCAACCACATGAAATGTACCATTTTGTCCAAATGTCTAGACTAGCCTCTGCCAATCTACATGCAAAACAGTTAAGGTAGTAAAGCAGGTTATAGTCCATCCCAAATCTTTCCCATCTGTTTTAAAGATGGAAACACTGGAAGAACTGAAATCATAGGAATGGAATGATGTTTCATATCATCATTTTAGCCTTTCAGAGTACTGACCTCAGGGACCCTCGGCAGAGGTCGCTTTGCCTTCTCTTCAGGAATCTTCTCTTTCAGAAGTACTGTCTGTACATCCAGTGCTCCTATCAAAGTGTTTGGCTTGTAACTCAGAACTTGTTGAGTTCCTGAAGACTTTAGTTCGAGACTATGTTGGGATGGATTTAAGTGATACTGGCTGCATAAATCAACCAATACATCCATCACAGCTTTACTACAAGGAAGAAGAATTCACCGTTAGCATGGGAATAAACCGTTGCCAAAAAATTTACCTCAGTTTTAAGATGGGGGGATAAAAGACAACAAAACAAGCTGTGGATGTACCACTAGTTAACCATCTTTGGGAGGGAACGGTGCTAGTGCTTTTAAATGTTAAACAGATCAGATAAAGTGATAAGAATTAAATATATTCACAGTTCAGTGTCTGTTTATGTGCTCACAACTAACGATTTAGTATCAGGCAGACAGCAGTGCCAATCATAGCACTAAAAAACCTAAGCCAAGAGGAGACAAAGTGCATCTTACTTGTTTCCAGACCACAGATCACAGAATATTCTGAGTTGGAAGTGACTCACAAGGATCCAACAAGTCCAGCTCTTAAGTGAATGGCCCATATGGGGATTGAACCCACAACCTTGGTGTTATTAGAACCACGTTCTGACCAACTGAGGGTCATAATGTAGTACATCTATACATTAAATGCTCCAGTTCAATTCCTGTTCTTCAACGTGAAGACAAGATACGAATAAATTATGAACTCATAATGGAGTATTTACATCTGGAATAAATGGTAGATAAAGCTTATTTTTCCAGTTTACAACTTTGAGTTCTCCCCATCCATTTGAAACCACCAATATTTTCCAGTACAATTGATCCTGTCCAATATTATTTTGATGAAGATATTAACCCTGTACAAAACAATCTGGTTTTAAGTGTCCCCATTACCAGCAACTTTTACTGCAGTATGATTCTTAAACATGAGGTTTTAAAAGAGTCAGCATTCATTTTGTGCCTCTGCACAGAGATACTCCGTTCTGTGTCAACAACTCAATACTCACAGGAGCTTGATAGTGCCTAATACAACAGATATGAACTGTGCTCCCCCATATTCCAGAAATTCTCCTCTACCACAGCAGGGTTCTTATATTTGCCCAGCCTTTCCCTCAAAAATTCCATACAGAATCAGAGAAAATAGGTTTATTAAAACTGGTCATTTTTCTAAAAAGTTTTGGTTTCATAAACCAAGCCTGTCACCAATAAAACAATGTAAGCTAAAAAAAAAAATTTACCAGCTGTAGCTGGAACCTGTGGGTTCACACAGTGGGATATTTGTCTTCTAGCAGAAGTTAAAATAAATGCACAGACAGCAAATTTGCCAAAAGAACTGGCACTTCTTTTAATGTTTAAACTGGAAAAACTGTATGCATATTCAAAATCCAAACAAATTCAAAGAAAATAAAAGCCTCCACAGGTTATTAGCCACTCCCATTATATCTGTAGCTCAAGAATTACCCTTTAAACTGCAAGCTGTTGGCATCTGGGAAACTACCCATGGAGGGCAACCAATCTTCTTTCTATGGGGATATTGTTGGCCAACAGCTGCTCAAGAAATTTGTGAAGAACACTGGAGGGCTAATGGAATCAACAAATGGAAAACTGGAGAATTCCTTATTACCTGGTAGGTGACAGCTCTTTTCGCGCAAGAGAAGAGGAAGGACTTTCTTTACAGTAACCTTTTTCAAGTTTAACAGTTACACAGTGTGGGCTGGAAAAGTGGCAAGTGTGGAAAATTTGGAATAACGTGATCTCACTGAGAAGGGAAAAACTAAGAAGATGGTGACTGAAGACCAAATAAGGAAAACAGTCATTAATATGTATATTAAGGAGGCTTCAGAACAGAGTGCACTATGGCAACTGCTAACATAGAGAGCACAAATATAAATATGTGTAGCATCCAAATCAAAACTGTATCAGCTCATTTAATGATGACTCATTCTGACACTGTTCCCAGGTTGAAAATATCTGGGACTCACAACCATGTTCAATTTATATGCTACACACCACAAACCAACAAACATTTACAGCTACTAAGTCCAAACTAGAGGAGAATCCCACCTACACCAGTATTTACATGAATATTCATTAAACTGTGCAGCAGTGCACAGTTTTTAAAAGTGGTTATCAGTTCTCGTGATACAGATCTCAACTTGTCTGTTTACAGACATACTTTTTTTTAAGCTAAAATTTGCATGTGTTTGCTTTCCCTCAGCCTTCTTACTATTGTTTCAGAGAAAAGTTAATAAATAACCAGACAGAATCACAATACATGGTGTCCTATGTGCATGATATTTATATTTAAAGTGGAATAGTGGAGTATTTTCGTAGTACATAGAACTGTGATAATTCATTCAAATTTGGACAGTAGTCTTGCCTCTTGCAGAAGTATTTGTAAAGACAAGAGTTCATCAAAATAACATCATCAAAATAACAGTTCATCAAAATAACAGTTTGCGATTTCACACATATACCACTGAAATTATAAAATATATTCAGCAGCAACAGTACCACAACTCTAACAAGATCAGAACCCACACCAGCCATCAGAGAAAATAAGTTACAGACAATCATGCAACCTGAACAAATTTTTGTGGATAAGGGACAATTCAAAAATCCAGCCAAATCTGAGGTTTCATCTTATTGCTGATTAGGAACGGGCACGCATTAACCATAACACTTATGGAGGTCTGCAGCATCCCAACCTGTGCCATGCTGCTCAGATACACAACTGTTCCATGAAAAGCATCGCCAGCCTTCATCTGTACCATTTGAAAGTATAGCTGAAGCTTTTGAAAAAGCTTCAAAGCAAATCATATGCTCCTTAAAAAAATGTAAATTTGGGGAAAATTTTTCACAAAATATCTGAAGTGTAAAAAAAATAAAAAAGAAAAGAGAAAAGGAGAAAAGAAGAAAAAAAAAAGGGAAAAAGGAGAAAAAACAGGAGACGAGGGGAAGAAAAGGAGAAAAAAAAAAGGACCAAAGTAGGAGAAAAGGAGAAAAATAAGGAGAAAAAAAAATTCCACAAAATTCAAAAATTCTTATCTTTCAAGCAACGTAAGAGCTGGGAAATCCTGGCAATGAAGTTATTCTTATTTTAGATTTCAATGGCACCAACTTCAAAAAAATTCATTCTAAACCATAATACAGTTTAGCTTAAATGGGAGTTTTATTTCAAGTAATTCCATGCATATGGTACACACAGAAGAGAGTCACTAAACACAGCAAGAGAATGGTAAACTACTAATCTAGACCAACTTTTCTTTCTAACATTGGGCTGAATCTGGGTCTTGGAAGATGCAAAGACTCAATCCTTCCTTTGCTTCCATCTTGTCCCACACAGATCTCCACTTTCTTTTAACGTGTTTGGATATCTGCTACAGAGTACTGTTTTGAAATTCAGGCAGGTCTTAAATATAATGCTGAAATGAAGCTAAATATGTCCTCCCTTTCCAACTACTCAGCTAAGAAACACATTATTTTTTCATTTTAGTAAGATGTTGCTGAAATTTTTGGCAAGTGACCAAACACTACGTAATAGACACCAAAGGTTAATGACTGACAAATACTAGAGCACAGAAACAAAACTGGAGAATGAACACAACTGAGGACTCAGATAAGAAGGTCCATATGACTATTCTTAGTAAAGGAGAGTACTTTGGCTCTGTTTTGATATTCTATTACTATGCTGTTTGACATTAATGCCAATTCCGGGCAGTAAATTTGAGTCTGCTTAAACTTGATCAGACTGCTTGTTTCCCGTTGTTCTTTGCAGCAGAGGCCTATGGTTTTTAGGAAGTATAAAACAACTGAGATGTTCTGGGTGTGGTTTGGCTTAACCTCCTTGGATCACATAGAGAAATCCATTAAAATACAGTCTTGTAAATCTGAAAATAAATGTGCAGGGTAAAGTTGTATTCTATCAAATGAAACCAACTTTCTTTTTACCTTCTGCTTTCATGCTACAAATGCCTTCCAGTACCTAAACAGGCCTACAAGAAAGCTGGAGAGGACTTTTCACAAGAGCATGTTGTGATAGAACAAGGGGTAATAGCTTTAAACTGAGAGTAGGCTTAGATTAGGTATTAGGAAGAAATTCTTCACCACAGTTCCTGTGGTGAAGCACAGGAAGTGGTCCAGAGAAGCTGTGGATGCCCCATCCCTGGAAGCGTGAGGGGGATTGGAACTACATGGTCTTTAAGGTCCTTTCCAACCCAAACCATTCTGCGATTCCATGATTAAAAAAAATAAATAAAAAATCTCAAACTGGAGGAAAGAATCTTCTTTATTTAGGTCAATCTCAAATGTGCATTAAGAATCCACAGTAGCAATTGACTGGAAAAGCAACATTAATAGTGTAAAGGAGGTGGATGACCTAAAGTCTCTAATTCTTTCATATTTGCATTTAAACCAGAAAATAGCATTAGCCATTATTTTCTCATGCTCCAAAGTACAGTAGGTACTCCATTAAAAGATTACAATTTTTTCTACACAAACAAAAATGTACACACTAAGTAGCAAGCTGTATCCAAAAAGTTCAGGAGGTGTGATAAAGACACTCATAAATGTTTTCTGTTTCTTTTCTTAGCTTGCTTCTGTACGTTTGGCTCTTATTTTCCATAACTGAGCAAGTCCACAGAAGAACATCAAGATGATACATAAAACAGGACAGAGGACTGTGCTTTTTAAGCCTTAGGACAAAAAACTGTCCTACAGTTGCTATTACTGTTGCTACTGTCTGTACGTATGAACTGTAGAGTTACAGAGACAGACTCTTGCCAGTGAACAGCATGAGGACAAATAGCAAAAGACAAGTGCTGAATAGGAAATTCCATTTAGGTACAAGTAAACATATAGCCTCTATAAAGATGGTTCCAGCCCTGGAAAAGAGGTGAAGAGAAATCCAGAAACCTCCTCCCTGAAGTTATTCAAACTTGCCTAGAGACTGTGTGCTCCAGCGGCCCCTTCCAACATAAATTCTAGTACAACTTTTTTTCCTTTAGCCTACACTGAACTACTGTAGTTTTGACCTGACACTTATTAAGTATTTAGTTAAACTAATTTTTAATCCTTTTGCCATGTGCCCAGTTTATCTTCTTCTCACAACACCTCTTTAATATTTTACCAAGCTGGGCTGATTTCACACCTTCAGACTTTCCTAAGACCCTGTTCTGTATGTTGAGCTATAAGCCCACAATAAAGAGTCTATTACTGATAATATGTGAGAATATTCTTTCTGTGATTACATTAGTTTTACATGTGTTTTATATGTGATGCTCCATATAATGAATACTCTGTACTGAACTCTGTCCTCCAGTATTTGCAGAATTGGACTACAGCTTCAGCTAGTTTATTATTTCTTCTAGTATCCTGCCCTCTGTGCATCGTATGTATGAGAGAATTTGTGTAACGTGTAAGATAACAGCAGGAGCAACAACTGTCCAGTTTACTTTTTTGCATATTGGTCATCCATGTATTGACAACTCCACACTAAACCTCACTTAGCTTCAAACATCCCTATTTTTCTGCAATGCATTTCAAATACTACTGATTTCCAAGCTGCTGACATGTAATGTCTGTATCTGTGTTAATCAGGAAGTCCTCCTCAGTGCCACCCAGTGTGAACAGAGACAGATGCATGATCCCTTTATTTACAGGTTACCCACTGCAAGTATTACCTCTGAGAATCACAAACAGAAAACTGATAACTTGGGAGCTTTTCCATTTGTTTTCTATCTAAATGTCTACCCATCACCTCTCTCACACCTGTTAACAGTTTGTGTGGATGTGCTACAGATCTACGTGCATAAAATGTGTAAGTGGCCAACGCTTTACCTATCCTTTCAGCACATCAGTTAGTGCTCATACACAGACTACAAACACAGAGTAGTGTTTCCCTCCTTTTCAGGGGGAAATAGGTTAACAGTTTCCATGAATACATGTTTTACATGTAGAGTTCCCAGGGGTCAATTCTTTCAAAAATAAAACTGTTTGTTAATACTATTCTATTGCTGCACACACTCCCTAAGGGCTTAGCTTTGTACTAACATCTGCACTACGTATTTCCAAATTCTCAAACAAATTGCGTGTTACGAGATGGCAATAAACTGTTAGAGAGGCTGTCAGCTTGAGTTAACTTTTATAAATAAAACAATTTCAAGGTTCCAGATTCCAATAAAATATCTTTAAATAGCACACACTTTTTTCTTAAAGTGTCTTCCAAGAAAATTTAATAAGAATTTTCTGCCTTCTTGCTGGTATTTACTGGAACTTTTTACATAGAGAACAAAATTAAATTACATGTTGCTTTGCTTACATGCAATGAACAAATTGAAAGATGTAATTTTTACTTTCAGTTCATTTGTAATAATCTTAAGTGATACTAATTAACTACAGTAGTTATATATTCAAATATAATCTAGTGTAATTCATTGTTCTGTGAACTGCTTTCCTGAAATTACAGAATCATTTTTCATTATGAATATGCCCAGGGCAAAGATTTGCAAATTTTTTTGAAACAGAAAAGCTACTTCCCCAGGGTAGCCAAAAGGAGATTTTGCAGAATATAATTTTAATGATGGCAACAAAAATACTGAAGATTTATAGCACTATAAGCATCAGCAGATTTTTCTGAAATGTCCTTCCAGGAGAGCATCACAGATAAAAAGAGTGAACAGGGAAAATAATGCACTGGCTCTTACACTTGCCTCAAACTAAAAAAAAACAACCAAAACATCAAACAAACCAAAAAACCAAGCAAAAGACCCCATATTTTTTAAAATCCAGTAACTTCAGCATTTAATGTTTACCCCTGAATATCATTGTATCTCATAGCTGTTTAGTTCACAATATTAAAACAATACAAAAAGTTGAAAAAACCTGGACTTTCACCCGAACCCGGAGACTTAGGAAAGTTCACCTCCTAAAAGTTTCAGATAATCTTGACATTATTATTTTTCACTATTCCACATACCTAAAAACATAACCAGGGCTACCATATAGAAAACTCCATCTTTCAGTGATTAGAAAGAACAGCAGCACACATGAGGTCTGTTCAGACTGATGTCACTGTAATACAGGGTTTATTACAGAATATCCTTTTCTTATTTCATAGCTTGTTAGGATGATTAATTCCCCTTCCCCAGTTTCTATCATCTTCCACTTCCCACAGCTGGCTATCAGTGTCACTAACTTCTGCACTCTAAGTCTTCAAGGTAGCACTGAGGGAGAACAGCCAGTGCCTAGGTTAGGCACCAGAGATGTGCAGAGTAGCACATTAACATAAGCAGGAATTTAATTCCCACCTAAATCACAGGCTTAGACCTGTCATGCAGATCCTGGAGAGAAATGAGCACCTTCACAGGCAGCAAAGAGAACATTTTGGTTGCTTAGAATGCTTAATGCAGATGATATAAATAACCTCACAGAAATTAGTGAAGTTTCATATTTGCCATTTCTTTCAGGTTTTTGTCCACAGACTAAAGACTCTAATAAACAAAACAGTCTTAGTGTATGTGATACATAACGATAAACATCTGTGAGACACAGAATATTTACTACACAGGGAAGCTCCTACTTGTTCTTGGCTCATGTAGCTTTTATGTTCTTCAAAAAGTCACATTAGAAGACCACTCTTACAGTGCTCTTGGACTGCTTACTTTGGAGGGAAAAAGAAGTTTCTAACCATATGGCAATTATCTATGTCTCAATAAAAAATGCTGCATGAATATTGACCTCTTGTCAGCTTCCGGGTGGCTTGCATTTGCCAATGAAATACCATCTTTCGTTGGGATCCAATGGCCAGAGAGTTTCATGTCCTCTTCCACTTACCAGGCGTGTTCTCTTCTTTCTCTCATGATGTCCAAATCTCCCTATAAAAGCTCTAACACTACATGTCTTATCTGAGAGCTCTCGGAAGCCCTGCTTTCCTTCCAAACCTTTAACACCACTCTGGCTTTGGGGTGGACACTCACAAGTTGCACACATCTCCTGAGAGTGGATAAGGGAATGTCAGTTTCTACGAGAAAAACAGAGGGGAGAAAGAAGTCCCAGACACCAAACACCAGTTTACACATCCTCCCTGGCCATCAAAATGCACTGAGGGAAACAGACTAATATATCAGACCAGAAAGTAGTTCTGCTGGAATGCAGACTAACTACTGAAAACATCAAATGTAAAACAAACAAAGAATCTGATTTACCAGATTCTGAACACATACCTGAACACAACAGGCACCTACATACCTTTTGAATGTGGTGTTACACTTTCTACAGTTTCTTGACTATTCTTGACCACAACATTGTTTGCTATGGTTTCATCATAATATTGTTTATATTTTTGAAACTTCTCCATATTATTTCCTAAAGTAATATCTCCCTCTTCCAAAACAATTTACACGGAAAGAATGAGGATAAAGAAGAGCTCCCACAGTGAAGAGAATTATCTCAAAACTACCTTTCCAATATAATTTTCTCTTGATTGTACCCAGAAAGTAACACAGAAAATCCCTGTCTCTTTCCATGGGAAAAAAAAAATACACTTTTATATGTAAAAGGCTTCCTAAATACGAGCAGATGCTTTTCTATCTACACAACTGCCCTGTATTTGTGAAGGCGGGATCTCTGAATGCGATGAATCATCCATCTTCCCAGCCTGTTCCCTGGCATGCCTCCAGGCACTCATGCTGTCAGGACTGTTTGCCAGCAGCACCTACTTCCACTGCAGCGAGCCCACTCTGGATTATGAGATGTGATACAACCTAAGCACAGTGACACTACATGAAAGGGACGGATCTGCACACGTGCTGATCCGTGGGGAAAACAGTGACACAATAGCTGCTAAATCCTTCCTGCCTCAGAAGAGAGGGTCCTTTATACATGGCTCTCAGGACTCTGGTGCAACAGCTGCCTAAAATGCAGAGAAAAGCATGACAGAGAAGTCCCATAAACTCAGAAAGACAGCATCAGCAAGCATCCCATAGGGAACAAAGGGCTTCAAAAAGTGGGAGCTAATCAAAGCCTTACCTTCCTTGCATTGTGCACTTCTGCTCCACTCCACTGGGTAGAACAACTGTGAAGTCCACCAGCCTGTTTATCATGTTCTCCTTCATGCTCACAAGGTTCTGATCAGAAATTACAGCTGTCTCTACAGGTGACTTGTGCTCACTCTGAATTCTACTTGCTGCAGGAGGTTGATTTGGTGGAGGGGGAGCGCGAGCTTTCATTCTTTTCCTTGAGAAAGAAAGGCAAGAAGAAAATTAATAATTTCCTGCAAGAAAATCCAAACATTACTAAGAAATATATGTTCTTTTGGCCACAATCTCAGATTGTTTTAAAAAGTTTCTTTAATACGAGTAATTTTTTCTTCATCATTAACCTTTTCAGTGGAGTTGCACTTTTATTTTACCTCCTCTCTAAAAATACGCTAATTTTTTAATGATGCACTCACTCCTACTGTTTGCTTTCCATGCCTCAGGGGATGAATCAGTTCCACAATTAGGATATGATATAATCGTTTTTCTGTTGAGTATGAAGCATACTCCTATGAAGTGAGAAACAGAAATGCTGGGCCCAGTCCAGACCTGACTCAAGAAAGAGTTGTATTTACGTTCATGAATGTTTCCTCCAAGTCAGAATGGCAGCAGTGGAAGCAGGGTGAGGTTTCATTCAGCTATATTTGGGTTCCACAGTCTTACTCTACTTGAAATATTGTCTCTTCCTCTGCTCTAAGTTAGTAGTATTAAATCTGGCTCATCGTACTTCATAGGGAAGCACCATGAAAAGGTCAACTGTGCATGATATCACTTCTTACCATACAACACCAACACTACAGCTCTTTGAAAGCACCCTGAAAGGAACTCATTCTTCAGTAGCAGGCTATGCACCATGTGTGATATACAGAAAAGCTGCATCAGCTTGCACCAAACAAGCAGCGTACTTTACAGAGATATAAACCCACCACAGACTCAAAGTTTACTTCTTTGGCAAGCTGCCAGACAGATAAGCAACATATGTGTGCTGTTAAACTTCTGAATAGCTGGCCTCATACCAAACACATGTCTAAGAGGATTAACTCTGATGATTAATACTCCAGTGACCTCTTCTGACTAGATTTACGCTTAGTTTAAGTCAGATTTTAGTGTAACAGATGGAAAAAGCAGTAAAATATTTACTCAGAAATTATTATGGAGGCCTACTGCCTGCATTTTTTAATCTGCCTGGTTTTAGGGTGCAGGAAGAGATTATAATTCTTCACACGATTTTCACCCTGCAAACAACATGAACTGAGGTCCAGAAAGGAAGAGTACAGAAAAAGCACTCTAACCCTTAAAAGCCGGAAAAGCTTAGTGGTCAAATCAGCCAAGGGCAAAACTGTGTTTAGGGGACAAAAAAAACCCTGAACTGAACTGAAATGCCAAATCAAACTGTCCTTTAATAAGACATAACCTCTATTCTCACAGATAAAAAGACTAAACATAGAGTTTGGATTACCACTGTAAGCTCCTGGCAGAAGAAAAAAGTAATACCTTTATCACATTAACAAAAAACCCAAACCAAATCAACCAACCAACAACAAAAAAAAAGTGTTCAGAGGCAATCCAAACCTTCCATACTCAGTATTTGCATTTGACCAACAGTATCTGTGACACATCTCAACCTGCAAAAATTCTTTACACTTCCTTGAAAATGCTAATTTCAGTGAAAGCTCAGTAAGGCACTGTTAAATCAGCAGTGATAATGCCTTTCTCTCCCTGTGCGCATAACAAATAGCATTCTCTACAGATATGCAGGAAGAGTTACTGCCTTATTTATTAGTATAGAGAAATTTCTCTTTCATCAGAAATTTCCTTGAACATTTAGTTTTTATCCTTTATGCACTGAGAGAGGCATGAAGTCATCAGCCACTAACTTGCAGCTCCTCCTTGTCGAGGTGATGAGAAGTTCTCAGCATTGACAAGTAATTAACTACCTTGATTCTCCATGAACCAAACTCTCAATTTATTTGTCTATTGAAGGGAAAAAAGAAACTGGAATTCATCTTCTGCTCAGATCCTTTACATTTAGCTACAGTTGTTATTTGTAAGCAGGTGGTGAGAGACATGTGAATTTTGCATAAGTCCAGATTCATGGCAACACAGCCTTACAATCATGCAGTTTAAGAACATCAAATCAATTTACAAATCATGTAATTCTTGCCCTTCATAATATATCAACTACATCAACAGAAGTAGTTATAGAGTTTGACTTGTTTCTTAAAATAAGCTTTTATTTTTTGTTTTTGAAGATTGCTCTATAATGGAAATAAAGGAAATTATTTCAACAGAGTGCTCCTGACAAAGTACCAAAGGGGGTAGAAAGAAAAGAAGCAGACAAGTGTACTGAGCCTGGCAGAACTAGCTGTAATTATGATTTACCTTTTAAATTCCAGATCTCACAGTGAACAAAGGTAGATGAAATAAAGCAATGGTAATAAAATAATCATGAAACTGAAATCAGCTGAAACTGTAGACACTTGAAACTTCAGGGAAGAAGTGGAGAAAGTCTGAGTTTTGAAACTAGTGAAGAAGCTGAAAGTAAACTGGGAATATGCCACACAAAGTGCCTGTCTGTTCCCTGGTGATAGTATACACCTGCCTGAGGTTTTCTATGGGAACAGACAAACCAGGTCAGAAACGTTAATGAGAGTGTGAGTTTTAGCTTTTTAATCTATTTTAAAAAAAATTTTAAGTACTCCTCAGCCAATTCTGCAGTTGCAGAGCTTGTATAGAACCGCTTGAGGCCGGGGGTGAGAGGGGGGCAGTGTGCAGAGTGTCAGCAAATCAGGCATCACACCAACAAAAGCATCAGCCATACGTTGACCAGTGATGTTCACTTTAACTCCATATAACATCTAACAATGCATATTCTTTTTGGCATTATGCAGACAGGGCCTTTTAGATACTACAATCCTCCTTTTATGCAGAAAGGACAGGGCAGGTCTGTTTCCTTCAGAGACATCAGAGAAAGGAAAAGGGAAAACATTCCTACTGCAGTCTCTCTAACCTAGCAACATTTCAGGTGACCTCATACGAACTTTTCCACAATAGTGACTTACATATTTTCACTGTGACTGCTTGAAATTCCTGGTTTTCAACATCTTTCAAATGACAGATTTCAAACTTTTTCAGTGGAAGTAGATCCCTCTGCAGTTCACATTTGTGGAGTGTTATGTGGCACAGATTTGCATTTTCTAGCCAACTTTCTGAAACATCTCTGTAGTAGAATGTAGCTCCATGAATCGCAGACTAAAATCCACAGCTCTAGCTCTACCTTGCATCTGACATGAGCAGCTGCTTTTTCTGACAGGCTCCAGCAACTGCAGCCAGAAGGTGCCTAGAAGCCTGTTAATACTATTGAATGTGAGTGAGAAAAAGAATTCATCTTTCTCTGTCAGAGCAACAATGGTTATAAAGGACAATACAAAAGCCCTCCGTAATAAAAGCCTTATTGTTACCCCACTAAAATAACACACACAGAAAGTGAGTGATTTAAAAGCCTGTTTTAAGCATGGGAAGAAAGGGTACTTCCCATGCTATAACCACAACATACTATAAAAGAGTTGCATACCATTCTTCAGTGTGAGATAAATTCAACCTAAATTTAGTTCAACAGCCATCTTCTCTCCACAAACACCTTTCACTGTGCTCACTACTGAGATACCTGTTAAGACGCTGCAGCTGCTCCTAGTCTGCAGAAGTTACAAGTGGGAACACTTCAAATCTATTATCAGGTTTAACTCATGGTTACATGAATGCTTCCATCCAGTCCTTGAGACAGAGACAGTGAAAACAAGCAGCTTATTCTAATACACAAATGTACAGCGGCTTTTACTGAGGCTTGAACTATTCTCACTTAACTGTAAACAGGAAAAAAATGCATACAGTCATGAAATAACTAGGCAGAATATATAAATCACCTACCAGCACTGTTCTCAGTCAAAGCACCAGGTTTCTCAAGATGGAAAAGGGAAAACAAGGAAACTGACCAGTAGGATCAGTGTTTCTGTAGTTCAGCAGAGAAGAAATGCAAGAGAAATGAAGTTTCATCTGATTATGAACTTCAAGACAAGGTAACACAAGCCCTTTGGACCTACAATTTATTAATATATAACTACCAAGCAACAGGATGTAATCTGGACTTTACAATCCCATCCTAGAAAAACATGATCTATCTTTTGAGCAGCCGTGGTCCTGGGACTTTGAATGCCTATGGCAAAACTATGCAGAGATTGCCTTTCTTCAGGTAAGGTCTAACACACACACACAAAAAGAAAAAATTGAAAGTGAAACAGTAAAATGCTACCCATTTCCACCCTTCCCATTAAATAATCCTCTCTGCCCTGTAAAACAAGGGCAACTTAACAGGCACAGGGCAGACTTCATTCCATGGATGTCAGCAGGACTTTGGCAAGTGCTCCAGAATTCACCAGTTTGTAGAATCTGGTCCTTTCTATGCCAAATCTCTCTCTAACCATTAATTTTAAACAAGCAAGAACAGCAACAAAAGCACAAACACACACGCACAAAAAACTTCAGGAAAAAAATGAAGAATACTTAAAAAAAAGTTAAAAAAACAACCCACCAAGAAACCTTAAAAATGCAACCCAACAATAAAACTAAGAAAAATCCAATCCAAAGCAAAACAAAAACTCAACCATCCCTGATCATGGCAGAATTATGGGAAATATTCATTTCTTTAAGCAATGGCAAACTATGACAGGCTGGTCGAGTCAATTTTCAGTCTAGACAAAAGGCTATAACAGGTTTAAAGGGATTTTCTGTGACAGTTGTGAACACCCCATCTCATAAATAGGAGAAATAAATCAACATTGCAAGTGCTCAGTGATGAGCAAATAGAGATACAGCATCCCTTGGGTGAAAACCAATAACCATGGGAATAAACATTCTTGATTTTCAAATGATTTCACTCTATAGCCTTTTGAGGGGAGAATCTCTGCACATAGGCAACAAAAAAAAAAAAAAAAAGCAGATGAGTATGTTCACTCACTTGCTCCCTTTCCCCTGGCAACTTGCACAGCATAGTCAGAAGCCTAGCCCTGAGGAACACACCTCATATTCCAAACCACCAAGACACAGCAGGGTGGAAGTCATTCATGCTCAGTGATCTAACCTGTGAAGAAGATATCTTTCAGAGAACATTTCCTTTTCATTCTTTGTTGCTTCTGGCAAAGC